TTTTAAATTTAATTCACTGCCGCAAGTTGTCTTTATTAATGAAATAATGAAATTTAGTAAAATTGCCAATGAGACCAGTGTCTACAAACTTATGTGGGGACAGACCATGGATGTAAATAGTTTCAAGTTACTTCGTACGGTAATATGAGAAAACCAACGGCCTTGTTTTAACTACAGATATGAACAAATATGGTTACTATATAACAAGTTTTCTGCTTGGGACAGGCACCTGAAAACTGGAGTGAAAAGGGGAGTCAATTATTGTGAGAACTCAACCCTCCCCTTAACGTTACATCATATTTTAAACACAAAACACAAGAACAAACTGTAACAAATCTGATTGATTCATTGCATAAAAACAAATAAACAAAAGACAAGTCAGGTAAAAATCCAAGTTCGAGACTAATAGATAACAGTAAAAAGTGTATATCCGACTGATTCAAATTACTAGTATGTTTATATGTAGATAAACGAAATAGTTAGTATAAAAAAATAAATGTGCATCCGTGTTGAAGGCCGTACCTTGACCTATAATGGTTTACTTTTATAAATTGTCACTTGGATGGAGAGTTGTCTCATTTGCACTCATACCACATCTTCCTATATCTATAAACCTTTATTATTACAGGCATATCTTGTGACATTACACAGATCGCTGCTGTATTTGGGACGCAAAAATTTAGCCAATACGTTATGCCGCTACAGCCTATTACCACAGGAGCGTCAAAGGTAACAGGTTTAACAAGAATAGGGAATGTACTTTACAGGAATGGTATACCAGTACCACACCAAAACAGAAAAGAATGTTTGATAGAGTTAATCACTTGGTTACCAGAAAATGTTGTGTTGTTTGGACATAACGTTAAATCTTTTGATTCAAAAATTATCATTATTAAAGCTCTGATGAATGAAAACTTGATTAATGATTTCAAAGCCAAGTGCAACGGATTCGTAGATACATTACATGTGTTTCGAGCTGCATACCCCGAAAGAAAGTCAGAGAGAAAAAGCTTCAAGCAGGAAGAACTGGTAAAGGATTTCCTCGGCGAAAACTTCACTTACGATGCACATAACGCATTGAGAGATGTCTTGGCTTTACAGGAACTATTCAGAAAGCCAGGATTTTCTCTTGTTCGTGTACAACCCCATAGTTTTTCTATTGATTTTGCTTATCAGGCTTTGATAAATGTTTAAGTGTCCAATAAGAACTATGAAACGCTGAAAGTGCTGCCGATTTCAGAGGGTATGACTAAAAAAATGGCTAGATCCGGACTTAACATTCAGCATTTAAAACTGGCTTTTAGACGAGGAGGAGTAGATGGTGTATATAATGTCATGTCAGAAGAAATTAACGGGAAGGTCAGAGTAACAAAGAACAAAAAGACAAAATAGAAAATCAGGAGACTGTCGTATGAATTAAATATATACATTTTATTTGGTTCGTCCATCTGTCTGTCTGTTCAATAATTTATTAAACACAAACCACTTCAAAAGGATGAGTAGGGATTTGATAAACTGTTGTGTAACAAATTAACTAAATATGCTGATGTCCATATAGAAACTTTTGTTGAAATTTTATATTTTGATTCATAAATAAAACTTAGTACATTGTATTAGGTAAAAAAGTTTGAAAATACTTTTTGTGAGCGCAGATTCTCAAAATATGAGTATGACACTGGTCAATTTTTAATTGCTGATGTTTTTCATATACAGACTTGCATTTGTATAATGAATCGGAGTGCATTAATAAACCATTTTGTTTTAGAATCTCGGGTTCTAATATACATCTTTGTCCAGGAATTTAACCATAAAACAATAAATAGGTGTACTGTTTTACATTTTGTCAAGTCTGGGACTTTTGTCACCGGGGAAACTGGGTGACTTGTGAGGTTGTGTAACAAAAGCCTGACTGAATGGCCTCTTGTTACTGAAACTGTGTGATGCACCTGATCACAGAATGAACGATTGCTCTGAATAGCAATGACACTTCTGAGACTGAAATTCTGGTGAAAACTGACTCTTGAGACTCTGGAACTAGCGATGAATAAATCAATAATTCAGCATGGATACTCTTTTATTACAGATGGACTGTGTTCAGTGTAAAGTCCTGTGTCCAAATCTTGCTTATAAAAATTATAAACAAGTTTTTATACACAATTGAATTGACAAGTATAGACACAACAAATAACAATTAATTTGAGTAATATTGTTCACTGACAAGGATTAAACTATTTTTAGATCTTGAAGAATAAAGTTAATTTACTAATCTGATTATGATATTTAAAAATATATAATAATGAAAAATGTATAATGTCATTAATTAGTTAATAGAATAAAACATTTCACTCAATGTCCAAACTGAGAATTAAATTGCATATCAAAGCATGTTGATTTTAAGTCCTTGATATTAATTTTAAATAGAAACGAAAATATAAAATTAAATGAATTTTAAAACACATAAAAATAAAGTCTAAATTATCAAAATTGAGAATTTTATATTAAAGTCCAAAATATTAAACTGAAGCTGCATTTTCCCTGGTCACACTTTTATGGATTTCTATACATTTTTTCCTTATTGTTGAAGGCCAATTGCAAACGGCGCACCCTATATACAGTGACTTACAACAACGTCCTTTGGTATTCGTTTGATATTTGTGTCCTTGGAAAACCATACATATACATTTCATTCTTTTATATATATATATATATATAACGTTTTTCTTCAAAGGAAAATTTACCCTTGAAACTCTTTAACATCATAATAGCTGATTTTCCCTCCTTAGTATCCGTCAAGGGTGGACTTTCAACACTCTTTCTAGTCTGTTCCGTCCCACACTCGCCAGGTAAGTCAAATGATTGTTATTTTCAATATTTACTAAATATCTCCACTGTAATAATGCAATGTGTGTGTGTGATCTTTAAAATATGTGAGTGTGGGTGTGATCTTTAAAATATGTGAGTGTGTGTGTGTGTGATCTTTTAAAAACATAAATGTTATAACAATTTGGTAGCAATCATGTTATACTATAGTATTAGATTATAGACCAATAAAAATATGTATGTAAGGTATATGTTGTCAATTTCATTTTCCGATATTGAGTTTATCAATTAATTCTCAAATTATTTGCATTTTATACACGGGTTCTTACATTGACCTGGTTTATTGCAACCATGAACACTCACAAGATGTTATGCAATTTTCTTATTCTTAGCCAGCTGTTCTTGCATATACTGAACAAATAATGATTGAAGAAAATGGTTCTTCAACTCTGTTGAACCGTAAAAAAAAGAACAGTTTTCGTGCTTTTATCAAGGAACAAGGCTAACTTTTCTATGCTGGAAATTTGGTAATTTTGTATGTAGGTCTGGGTAGTGTTCAAAAAGTGCATCATAAAAAAATAAAGAATAGAAATAAAGGGGGGATATAGAATAGAGAATTATGGGGTGCTAATTAAAAAAGATAGAGAAAAATGAGCGAAATCAGAATAGAGAAAATAGTCTTACATTTAAAGAAAAAGAAAAAGGAGGACCCCCATCTAGACCCTGTTGTAACGCGTGAATGTGATTACAAATAAAAAATGTATTTGTCGGAAAACCTTATTGCGCTAAATATCTCGCATTTATAGACCCGAATATTGTAAAGATGAAGAGATGCAGAAGATTAGGCTTACTTTCATGACTAAATAAAACAAACATGTAGAAAACAATAAATAAATGATTTGCGACATTATTATCCACCTCGGCACCGATTTATTTTGTTAGGTTCATTATTCTAGCAACTCTGTGTTTACTCGGATGAAATATTTCTGCCTGTCACTTTAAATTAAAAATGACACAAAAGGTGTAGACAACTATTGTTTTATTTTCACAAACTTAAAGTACTTACAATCTATATCCCTTCTGAAAGGATCATTAAATCAACTATTGAGAAATCACAAACACATGGATGGAGAGAACTAATGAAAGCCAATGATTTCTGCCTTTCACTCACAGCACATATATTCTACCTATTTCTATTTTTTGTGGAGCAAAACAAATGTCTTTTAAAATTATAATTGGTGTAAGAGAGATTGAAGATACAAAAGGGGCCAAAAATAAACTGAGTATTTAATTGACATCGCCATGGCCAAAAAGAAAAAAAAAAACAAACAAAACAAACAACAGTACAGAAAACACAACATGAACTAAAGACCGAGCAACACGAACCCAACCAAAACGGTATATATTTCCTATCAATTGAAATCTAGTACGGTTGAACAATGTATAGCGTTGAAATCGTTGCGGCGACGTCAATAACGTCGTCGTAACTTTTTCATTTTTTACACTGAAGATTCAACTTTAACAGGATATAACTTGAAAAGTAGCACGGTTGCTAAGGACTTTCTTTGCACCAATCGATTCGTCATTCATTTTATTAATATTATTATTCAGTATATTAACTTTTAAAAAAATTCTGTGGACTAATAAAATAGAAAATCTTGAAAATGTAACAATTCCTGCCGAATTTCACAGTTTTCCCCTATATAACCTTTGTATTTTAGGCGCATCATGCCGTTAACTTCAACAGCTCTTATCTCAAAAACAAAAACGGTTACCCCCTTTTTTTATTTCATTTTCTGATGTATTTTTACAAGCAGAATACACATGTAAAATTTAAAAAAATTCTGTGGAATAGTTAATTACGTACACTTCGCCTTAAAAGGGATCTATTTCTAGAACGGTAAATGAATCACTACCCAAATTCAAACTATCTGTAAGCATTGCGTATGAATTTCATTAGTTTGTAGCACTGTGTATGAGTTTCATTTAAATTGGATGAGGCAAGCTTTAGAGTTAAGAGTGCAGAAACAAAATTGGACAGACAGAAGGTAATAGTTAACTATAATAAAAATAATTACCAAAAAATAACTGACCATGTTAATTACATTACATCCCATCATATTTGATCATATAAATATAAATAAAGACTTAAATTTTCTGTCAAGGAAAATTAATCTTACCCATATACATTGTTGCTGAATTTGTTGTAACTTCCAAACATTATAATTCCACCAAACGATACACTGAGAGAGAAAAACATCTGTCCTGCTGCAGCAACCCATACCTATAATAAATAAATTATATATATGTTAGACTCAGATCGACGTCCGGTCTCTAATCGAAGTCCTTTCCTCAAATCGACGTCCAATTCGGACGTCACATTCTCAAATTGACGTCCAATTGTTTGATCCTCTAATCGACGTCCAATATGCCGTCATGTATTGCCAAAACGATGTCCGATTTATTGTAGTCTTCTCTTATCGATGTTCAATATCAATGAATAATAAAAAAAGAAATTGCTGCACTTACACTTATACATGTACATGCATATTAATAAATGGCATATGCGTATACTTAAATAAGAACCCAACGACAAAGAAAACAAAACGACATATATATAGGGCAACACTCAGTCTTCAACAATGGACAAAATAAAGAAGTAAATGCCAACTGTTAGAGTATTATAATTTGGACTCTGTAAGAATTTTTTCAACAAATTCATTTGTTTTACACCTGGAGTGAAAAATATACAAAATAAATTGGCATTATGTTTTTATGTTGTGCTGTTACACCACTGTTTCAGGTTAGGGGAGGCTTAAGCGCTCACAAACATGTTAAACCCTGCCAAGTATTTTATGTGCCTGTAGTCTAGTGGTTGTCCTTGGTTTATGTCTTGCATATTTGTTGTTCAGAATTTTTTTTGTTATAGGTTAGTTTTTAGTTCTATAATAATTGTTTTATATGTTTCATGTCGAGACCTTTAATTGCCGACTTTATCATTCCATGATTCATTGTTGAAGGACGTACGGTATAGATATAAGAAGATGTGGTATGAGTGCCAAAAAGACAACTCTCCATCCAAGTCCCAGTTTATAAAAGAAAAACATTATAGGTCAAAATACAGTCTTAAACACGGAGCCTTGGCTCACACCGAACAGCAAGCTATAAAGGTAAAGGGCTATATAATTGCTTACATTCACTTCATTTGAACTCTGGTGTATAGTTGTCCAATTAGCAATCTCACCACATCTCATTGTTTTTAATAAGCTCTTAAATTACATAAAAATTGATATCACAACCTGTAAACATTGGTAATACATTTAAAAAAAAAGATTTTTAAATATATTTTATTTGTCACATAACCTATGTTTTGGTTGTAAAAATATTGACCTAGAACTGTCTTTACTACTTTTTTTATATTTATTCTTCTCGGACAATCCACGTTTCAGTTCTGTTATAAACTTTGCTTGTCCCCATTTCTGCAGTTTTGTTCATTTGTTTTAGATATATTTCCGTATAATATGGCATGTTGGCCAAAAATGTCTCGGCGTTTGCATCTTTCCATAGGTCCATTAAAACGGACAGCAATTAGAGAAGCTTAAATTTGGACGTCTATTAGAGGAGCCAAACATTGGGCCTCGGTTAGAGGGGGATATAATTTGCCGCTGATTTGGAATCTTATTTTATTGTGACGTCAGCTTTGGACATCGATTTGAGGAATGGACGTCGATCTGAGTCTTACAGGGGTAAATTCAGTAAATAAATATACGTCATCAGGGACCGCCCATTTGGGGGAGAGCTTTCTGTATAAAACTGAAGTCATGTGCTCTTCTGATTGGTAGATAATGTTTGTAATAAATATTTTTTGATAGATGGATAAAAACTAGAGTTGAAAAAAAATAAAAAATGAATGCTGAATGTACTAAATTTTTTTACTGCAGGGTTGAAAAGTAATGGGGGTCAGTGAAGGAATTAAGTGTGAATCTACAGTGTTTGTAAACAAGGCCATGTGAATGCCCAAAAATGCCGCATGACCCTATGTTTTTATTGTTGCAAATGATAGGGCTACATTTGTACTTTCATGAATGATATATGAAATTTTCTAATTTCTAAAGGTAAATCAGGTATAAATTTAATTCAAGACATAGATTAGCATTACAGTCAATGGGAGATTTTTTACTGAATTTACCCTTACATATATATGTTGTAATACATAATTTTAAAGATAAAATAAATATGTCCTTCAAATTAAAGTAAAACTTTTTCCTTTATAATTTTTTCAGGGCTATAAAAGCAATGGAAGGTCCTAAAATATATTGTGGTACTAGACAGACATGGGTAAAGGAACTTTTAACAATATATCTCATAGTAAATAGTCTGCAGTCAGGAATATCAACCTCCTTAGTTTCCCCTCATAAGGTATCATTGAAACTCACAAGCTGAAATACAAATTGCCCCCAGCATATAGAAGTGAATTTTAATTTAAAAATATTTACAAATTAATCTTAAGGTGGTACCAAACACCTTGATTTAAAAATTTCATTGGATATATAGCAGTTAGACAAACACTAATTCTCATCATTGAGAACCTAATATTTCCTTAACATAATACAACATTATTAAAACACTCAGCTGATTTTTAGAGTTATCTCCCTGTAGTGTTAGGTACCAACTTGAAAGAGTTACAAATCAAAGACTTCTCAAACTTTAGGTACCCATGGTATAAAAAAAAACAATATAATTAATTGACAAACACAGGGAATTGAATTTAAAACAAAATTCAGTACAATTGTCTATGATGACAATGACCACTATTTCTGTAAGTATATCTTACAATCATGACTCATATATATACCTTTAGATCTGCTAGTTTGGACCATTCAGGTATCAAAAAATATTTTACTCCATCAATAGCACCATCTAGTGTAGCTCCTCGGATCAACAAAATCAACAAGATAACATATGGGAATGTGGCTGTGAAATATACAACCTGAAAAGATAAAAAGTAAAAGTTCCAGTCCAGCAAAAAAAAAAAAAAGATTTATGGGTTGAAAACCTACAAATAAATTCATATATTAAAATGCTAAGTTATATCAAAAGCCACCTAAGTTCATCGAAAACAATCACCCATTACGGAATGCATCCAAATTGAATATTTGTAAAATGGACTTAATGGCATCCTGCACAAACTTGTTAGCTTAGGAATGAGCAAATTAAGTATATATATAATCACTGTCGATTAAAAATATATTCGTTTCAAAACATATGATGTATAAATTTGCAAAAGGCAAACTATGGTTAATCAAACAAATATAAATAAGATCACACACACTTCCATTTCAAAGGTGCTCTATCAAATTATATTGTCTTAAACACACAAAATATAAATGAATGTGCTCTATATTATTAGACATTGACTTGCATACATATATATCATAAAACTTACTTTTCCAGATGAATTAATTCCCCTTACTAAACAGAGAACAACAACAATCCACGACAACAGCAGACAGAGTGCTAACTTCCATTGTGGATTTCCTGTGTCTGGGTAGAAATCATCAGCCTTGTTCATTACAGTTTTACTGAAAAAGAAATTGTTCTTAGAATAGGGGTGGTATTAATCTTACAGATAACATGCATTTCATATTTAAACTATTTGGATTGTTGTAGTTGTACAAAAGACAACTGTTACTGTAGATTCCTTTTTATTTGTTAGATATTAATTTTTGTTGGAATAGGTGAACCAGGAAATTAAATGCTTAACGATTACATGTACAAATGTTCTATTGCCTTGAACACAGACATTGGTAAAATCATGAAATAAAATACCCACGTAAATAGGCTACTTGCCAATTCCCGTAATTGACCCTGTAATTAAAGATCCCTTTTTTAGTTGTCTCCCTTATGAGGGACATTAATTTTTATTTACAATGGAGAGCCAGCAGAAAGAGCAAATTTACCTGTGCGTAATGTGAGTAATCTTTAAGATTTTTAAATCTTATGATTACATTAATTTGTTGTTCAGCTAAATACTTTTGACATCAGAAATTTTTTTTAATGAAAAATTAGTTAAACTGAGGATACATCACTTTCAATTCATCATGCTTTGCATTGGTAAATGCCAATTTTGTTCGGTATGGAACCAGTCGACAATTGACAAAGGGAAGTAATTTGTTTGAAAAGTGTGTAATAACAGAATCAAATCGGTAATTGGCAAATGGACTATAGCCATTGGTACCCACGAAAATTAAAGAATCCAAAGTATATAATTATATCTTTCTTTACAAAAATAAAGTTTCAGGCCAAAAGACGTGTCAATTTTTTAACCTGATTTCATTTTTAAAAAGCAGATTTTATATATACTACTGTAAAATTTATAAACTTAACAAACATCCTTCCATAAAATTTATGACCTTGAATACTATTACCTACTCAAAATACAGCTGTGCTACAGGTACTGGGACATCTCCTTGGTATGTGACATTAGTACCGTTAAATCCCTGGTCAGACAATATAGAATCTGTACCGTTCAAAAAACATCTACACGCTTTGTTATCAGTCAATAATTGTGTAATGTTCATAGAGCAATAGTCTAATCTCTGTGTCGACTGCTCCACACATCCTAACGGTAACCATTCCTACAATACAAACATTGGAAGGTTAACTACATCTAGGTCTTGTTACAAGAATGGCTATATATTAAAAGACAATTGTGATAATAATTAAACATCCAGTGGCAAATATTACATGAATAACTTTTATTTAGAAGAAGACACCAATGTATATGAATTGATATCTATAAACCCGGTTTTAGTTCTCATTTAATTGTTTTATAAAATGTTTCATGGTGATTTCATAGTCGACTATAAAGTATTTTTTTCTCATTTTTTAGACTGTCGGGTGACCTTTAATTGCATATATCCACATTATACTTATTTATATGGTGGATAGTTGTCTCATTGGCAATCATACTTCATCTACTTATTTTTATATGAGTACTTGGCTGAAACTCTTTGAGCCAAGTGGTTTAACAATCCCTGTCAAAATTTATGGTGGACTTATCATGGCAGTTTAGAACATATATGGTTCTGGCAATGGGATCTGAACAGTTTTTTTAAATATATCTTAGAAAAAATAACTAAATAAGGTTTTGACATTTTAGCGCAAAACATGCCTGCTATATACAGTTACACAATATTGCAAATTCACATGTTGTAATATTTTTCATACCATCAATAATCAAAATGAATTGATTAGTATGTCCCTAGTAAGCAGTGTTTTGTATAAATGCTCAAAATGGCAGCTTTAGGTCAGCTTCAGGCATTCATTTTAGTCAAATGTTCAGAAAAGGGCCATTATGTTTTATGAGACTCGAGTGCATATACTTGAAACTAACTGAATTTTAGTCAAGTTAAGTTACTTCTCGAAAATTCCCATAATGAGAAAAAAGCTTTTATGTCTCATTGGCAATCATCATACCACAATTCATTTCAATCTGTGAATTCATTTATTTTCTTGGATATCAATTAGGGTGGATTGAGGAAAACTTGCATTTTTGTTGATATTTGATTTCGTGATTTTGCAAACCTCTGCTTACAAAGCCATTAGAAAATGTGTAATTCGTTGTACATTTATATTCGTGGTTCACCTATACCCACAAAACCGACGAAAATTGGTATCCAACAAATAATAATGAATCCACAGTATATGGAAAATTGAGCAAAATTTTGAATAATAACTGTTTCCTCATTTTTATAATGTCCACCTTGAAACTGTTCCAAATCCCTAGTCTAGAACATACTTGCATCTTCACAAACAGTCCAGGGTAGAGTTTTCTGCATGGAGGAGAAGAAGTAGATCAGTGTATAGGCCATGATCACATTATAGTAGATTGCAACTACTAAGGATATTAGAGCCATAGATATACCAATACCTGCAAAGTTAATACATTTGTATAAGATTTATATTCAGTGTATACATGTAGGCCATGATCACGTTATAGTAGATTGTGACTACTAACGATATTAGAGCCATAGATATACCAATACCTGCAAAGTTAATACATTTGTGTTATTTATATTTAATACGAAATAAATTATTTTATAACATGAAGAAATTGAAAATATTTTGTATTATGTAATAAATCTTTGTACAAAATTCATCATTTACAATACCTTAAACCTGCATAAAATTATTTTGTATAAAATTCTACACCTATAGTTTTCTCACATTTACAAATGAAAATTGTAAATGTATTTCAGATATACTTCAATATTACATGTACCAGCATACTTTTCTCATCAGATGTGGAAAAACAATATAAGTGTTTAATACCATTAGGCAAAATAAGATCAAAATAAAAAAAAATAATTCTAGATTGCCAAATTCCACAATGAAACGTTTTTTGTAGGTGAATTAAAACCCTATTTTTATTTCTTTCAAACATCACATATCTTAAAAATGTCTCTCCATCATCATCTCAAACTTCAAAGATTGAAACACTAATTATAAATTAAACAAATAATAAACCAAAGATTTTTTTTCTTCAAACCATGAAATATGAATTAACAAATACTACTACAAAAACACTATTACCTTTAGCACTTGGGTTCATTTTCCAAACCCCTGTTGGTCCTAAACTAGAGAATTGACCCATTACTAACTCCATGAAGTACATGGGCTTTCCTATCAGGAACTGTAGGACTAAATAAGCAATCAGGAAGGCAGCAGAAATTAAGAAAAAAAATGTGAATAAAATTCTCAAATATTAAGAAATATGATTGTTTGTTGGTTTATTGGACTGAAAATTTGTATGCAAGTAACCCATCTTGCTGCCACAGTTGTGGACCCTGCTGCCACAGTTGTGGACCCTGCTTCCACAGTTGTGGACCCTGCTGCCAATGTTGTGGACCCTTTGTACACAGATCAAATATTGAAAAGATTGTCATCTGCAACAGTTAAAGCAGTTGGAAGATTTTTTCATTGACTGATTGAGTTCTTCCACCAAAATCTTTTTACTTATAAAACAATAAAACAATTTACAATATAGTTTTATCTATGATATGAAATCCAAAACTAGAACTTGTCTCTATTTATATTTGTGTCACATTCTCATTAGAAATATTTAGGTGTGATGCCACTTGTGATGATGGTTAATTAGACATTTAATATGTGAATGGCATACAATACCATGATAAACAGGAGATGCTGATACTTTATAATGATTCCATGCATTATGCATTGTTGCCTATAGAAAAAACTTAAAAAATACTCAATAAATAAAAATTTTAGAGTATAAATCTCTATTTTTTTTAGCATGAATCTGGCAGCTAATGACACTTTAATCATTTAACATGTTTAGTTTCCTTACAGACTAACAGACTTGGGGTAATTGTAATTGTAATCGTTAATCAGCTGTAATTGATTACAATTTTTCAAGTAATCATTGTAAAAAATCTGATTACATGTAATTTAATTTAATCAATTACTTTTCAAAATACCCTGTAATCCTGATTACTTTTTGATTACATTCTGATTACAATGAAAAAAATCTTTAAACTGTGTTTATGGTCAATAAATGAACCTTTTAGTTATTCTTATTTTTAAATAAATATTTAATACATTTAAATAGTTTGGTTTACTTTACAAATCATGTTAATTGATTATTATACTTCAGTAAAAAATAAACTGTTACAGTATTGGACATATAATACAATTACATGTCTCTGGCCTTAGTAAAAGATATTGTACATATATTCACAATTTAAAGATGTACATATATATATTTGATAATAACTGTTATATTTAAGTATACTTTTCTTTAACCCTGAATTATAATCTTTTGTTAATATTAGGATTTTTGTCAACTTTGAATTGACAGGTAGGAAACCATTTAAGGTTTGTTTTTATTGCAATTACCAATTGAGTTTAGCTATAGGACAATATATATGATAAGAGATTAATCAGACATGTGGACATGGTGGAAATTTATCTAATTAGCACAAACTAAATTAAAAGTTGGACAAATATTTTGTTCAAAATAAGCAAATTTTTGTATGTATTTTAGTACTTGTTTATGTTTACAATTTGATTTAACAATTCTATTAACATTTTACATATTCAATTTTTTTTTTTAAATTCATTGTAATCAGATGTAATCATGATTACTTTGCCAATGTAATCATTAACTTAATCAGACACTTTCAGAAATGATGTAATCATTAATTTAATTTAATCGTACAAATGACAAAGTAATTGTAATTTAATCAATTACATTGAAAACAATCGGACCCATCTCTGCAGACTAACAGTAAATCTTTTCTTCTATAAATTTTGGCTTTGTGAAAGGGTTAAAAAGAGATATGTCAGACAATGTAAATTTGCAATTTACTAATTCAGAACAATAAAAACTTTTAAGTCAGACTTTTGGTTAGAATAACTTGATTCTGTCTATGTATCTATTACAAGCTAGAAATTTAATGAAAATCCTGCAGTGTGAAGGTGTTAACCATAATTTACATACATGTATCTAGTCTACATGTTCTTACTGTTTTCTTGTCAAATCATTTAATATTATGCTAAATTTCAGACTAAAATTAATCTTTACATTATAACATATGAAATAATTTTAATACATGTTTAAATTCAATCAGTTTTCACATTGGTAACACATGTACTTGAAAGACATGTCATTAAGTTGTCTACATTTCAATTTACAAATCATTTCCAAAGATTTCTTTCAGTGAGTCATAACTATACAATGTACAAATATACACCCAGTTAAGAAGCCGTAAAGATCAATCAGATTTTAAATATTTGGGTAAAACATGATTGTCTTTTAAAAAAACAACGCCATAAAAACCAATCAACTTAAATGATTTAGTCAAACAAAACCTTTTATACCAGTTATTGTCAGTACATTTATTCTTTAAAATATTAACTCCTTTAATTTGTCCTTACATGTATATGAGATACATGCAGTGATAAACTATTATTGCATTCATTAATTTTTCCCATACATTTCAGCTGTTAAAATGATTGTAATTATTAGGTAAGAGTAGATTCTTCAAATTGACAATGACAATTTACCCTGATTGACCTTCAGTCAACTAAGGTAACTTGTTCGTAAAAATGAACATTGGGCTAGTCAGCCTAGTGGCCATGCAATATCTTACTATCTAGATCATTGATTATCAACTAGTATTGTAAAATAAGCGCTCCGATATATTTCACTTAACTATGTTAATTTAAATCACGCATTAATGTGTCATTCAATGGTATAGTTCTATTTATCATTTAATTAACATAAGCTTTAACAGCTATAAACATGAATAACAGTAATACCTCCTCCATTTTCATAGGCCAGGTAAGGGAAACGCCATACATTTCCTAATCCTACAGAAAGTCTAATGCATGACAGAATAAACTCCCATTTGGAGCCCCATTGTCCTCTATCTTCAGTATCTTCGTCAACATTTACATCAACATCTCCATTCCGTTCTTTTGAGCCATTATTTACATTGTAGCTATCTTTTGTGTCTATCTGCAATTAAAAATGTAGAAAATAGCTTTAATAAATAAATCAGATTCATCTAGTCTTGAGTTATTACAAGTCATAGA